TGCCCCTCGGTGTCCCCGAGCTGCTATGAGAAGCGTCGCCTCAGCACTGGCGCCTGGCGGCCGGTGCCCAGCAGTTCTGAGGCCCCCTGGCTCCCAGCAGAGACCTCGATGTGTGCTGGCCCCATGCCTGCTGTGGGCCCAGAGCCCACTCCTACCCACAGCTGGGGCTGGTCTCAACATGGCCACCTCGAGGGCAGCCCGTCTGTCCACTGCGGCCTCGTCCACTTTTGTTAACTGGTGTTTGGCGAAACGCTTCCTTCCAGCGCTCGCTGTGTGAACCGTGCTGCCCTGAGCATCGAGTGGCGCTGCCTTCCCCCCTGGGACCGTCCAAGGCCAGGTCCTCCACTCCCAAGCCACCAGGAGACACCTCCAGGGGCTTCCCTCACAGACCCAAGCTCTGGAGGCCACGAGGCCCCCAGGACACCCTCGCTCACTCGAGGCATGGGGAAAGTCATTGAGGGAGGCTATTCCGGGCAGAGCAAGGCCGACCAAGGAAGGGTGAGGTTCTCAGGACAATGAGTTGTAGGGTGTGGGCTGCAGGGAGGGGTCGATCAAGCAGGCTGCCAGATGAGAGGGCTTTGCGTACGTGTGGCTGCCGGCCAGGCCCGGCAAGCATCACACTGACGAGAAGCAGCCTGCTCCAGGCCTTGGTCCCAGCTCCCCTCCCAGGGCTCTGCTGCCTCAGGCTCAGAAGCCCACCTAGCACCACTAGCCAGTGGCAGCCAGGTAACAAGACAGACGTCCTTTCAAAGCTAATCCTGGGGGACAGCAAGGTGAACCGGGTGGGCCCCAGACTGGAGGGACAGCCAAGCCATGAAGCTTCCAGGAGGCACACGGGCTCCCCCTGGGTCCTGTGGCTCCTCCTTCCTGCACCTGCCTGGGCGGATGGACGCACTGCCCAGGTGGGAGGGGAGGGGACAGACCAGGCGCTCTCCAGCCTCTCCAGGACCCCAGCTCTAGGGACACGCCCCGGGCTCCAGCAATCCCACCTGCCCCGTCCCTGCAGCCCTGCGGGCGGCCCAGCTCCCGGCTCAGCTGCGTCCTGTCCTTCCGTCCCGTCTGTCCAGTACCCTGAGCCATGTCCTCTCCTGTTCCCGCCCCCCGGGATTGTCTTTGCTGACTCCGCATTTAGAAGAAGGTGCAGAGACACTGCCCAGGTCCCGGTCCTCCCCCTGGTCCCTCCTAGGGATCCCATCTCCTGGAAGGAGTGCTCCTCCAGCCGAGCGCTGACCTCGCAGGGTTCCACGTCCTGTGTCACAGTGGATTGTGTGACCAGCACTGCAACCCAGACGCAGAACCATCCCCTGCACGAGGACAACCCTGCACTGCCCCGCGGAGCCACCTCATCCCCACCCCCACCTCGGCCCCTCACCCCTGTGGGCCGCTGGTTCAAGGTGACGCTGGGGGAAGCCTGTGATGGGTGACATGCAGGTGTCACTTGGGCCCACAGGGATCAGAAGGCGCTCCCTCTCGGGGCTGGGCAGTGGCCCTGGCCTGCACGGGGTGGAGTGGCCACACCACAGCTTGCTTGGGGTCCATCCTGCACACGCCCCTATCGCCCATCTGGGTTGAGGCCAACGCAGCTGCTGTGGGGTCACATTGGTCTCTGGGGGGGATATGGCCTCCATCTCCCTGCTGTGAGCCCCCAGGTGCCCCGCTGGCTCTGACTTGTATGGGTGGCTTCTTAAGAAGCCGCCAGACCCTCCCCCTCTCCCGGGAGGGTTCTGACCGTGTGCAAACCCAAGGAGACCCGCTGTGGCTGGGGTAGCTGCCATGCCCCTGGGTCGGCCCCATGGGGAACCGGCCGTCCAGCTCCTTCTGAGACAGGCAGAGCCCGGAAAGCACCGCCGGCCGGCCTGACTGCGCCTGCTCTTGTCCCCTCGGCCGGCCTCCTGTCCTCGAGCTCGGCTCTGCAGGCTGTGTGCTGCCCTGAGTCGCTCCGCAGAGCGCAGGGCCGCGGGGCGCGGGCTGAAGGCTCACCCGCCACAGCTCATGCTCAGGCGCCCCTCGTTCAGGCTCACGCTCCACAGTCAATCCAGGCAGCTCAGGGGTCCCAGGAAGCCCCGTCAGGCTGGCCCAGGGAGCCAGGGTCCCTTCTCGGGCCTGCAGGGCCCCGAGGACCCCCTGCCTGCACCTGCTCCGGGCACCAGGCCCTCTGCAGCCCCTCCTCTGCCCACCACCCTCCTGCGCCCCTCACAAGAGCCTCGCGGTCAGACCCAGGCCCCGGATGGCCCCGAGGACGCCCGGGTTCCTCACAAGGTCCCCTGGCAGGGTGGGCTGGGCCTGTCTTCTCGGGCCACTGTGCCGCCTGCTACCCAGGTGACCTGAGAGTCTCTGTGACCCCTGCTGCTCCCTGATGGTCCCCAAGGAGAATGTGCAGGTCCGTCACCACAAGCGTCAGCAGTGACACTACTGATGAGTAACTTGTGAAACAAGTTCTTCCCAGTGTAGAAACAGAAAGGCACAGATGGTTGACAAGTGACAACTGGCTGTGACGTCGTGGGCCAGGGCCCTCCTGGGGCCGGGTCGCCCCCACCTGCCCCACACTGGGGGCTGACACTCAGTGAGCCCTGTGCCGTGGTGTAGGGGTGACACATCCACAGGACTTTCTGAGCCAGTGGGGGCAGGGCGGAGGTGCCAGTGGCTCTGAGGTGACAGGGACAGGGATGGGTGATAAGTAATGGAAGGCCGGGGCCGCTGTGGGGGGCGCTGTCTGGTCGCGCTGTGCAGGTCCCTCCTGGGCTCATGGCCCGCTGGTGACCTCCACGTGGGCAGCCCCTTGCCCAGGCAGAGCTCACGTTCAGCTTATCCCTGCCTCGGTGCCCCCTGGGCCGTCCCTGCCTCAGTGCCTCCTGGGCCATCCCTGCCTCGGTGCCCCTGGGCTGCACTGGTGAACAGTAAAGGAAGTGCTCCTGCCCAGGTCATGGCGGCTGCTCTCCTGGGAGTGGAGGTCAGGCCCGGGTCCAGCAGCCCAGGCCCCAGCAGCCCAGGCCCCCCAACAGCTGGAGTGGCCTTTCCCTGCTCCATCTTGCCTCCAGGAAGACTCCCAGGGTGGCAAGGGTGGAAGGACATCCATCCTGGCCTGGACATGCCTGGGGGGCAGGACTGTGGGCTGGACGGTGACAGACACGCAGACACTGCAGTCTCCCCCGAAGCTACACACCACACAAACCACGCACACGCGTGTGCACCACACATGTCCACACACAGTGCAGACACACGTCACAAACACATGACACGCATGTGGCTCCCACATGACCGTACAGGAAGAGGCCGTCCCTGAGAGCAGGATCCCCGGAGCCTGCAGTGGCCTCACCTGGGCACGTACAGGGACACCACAGAATGGCGTCACGTGGCCCCACAGGTTTGTGCCCTGCTCCCTCCCTTGGTGACAGGGTGCCTTCCGCTGTGGCTGGAGGTAGCTGCCATGCCCCTGGGTCGGCCCCAGGGGGAACTGGCCGTCCAGCTCCTTCTGAGCAAGGCAGAGCCCGGGCCTGGACAGCGGGGGCAGGCGATCGGGAGGGACCCCTGTGCCCCTGTTGGGTGCCCCCCTCCCAGGAACACGGGCCTCCTCAGCAGACTCGGAGCTGCAGGGAGGCAGTGGACACCCTCCACGTGGCTCTTGGGCATCGAGAGGTGCTGGCCCACCTGCACCCTCCTGATCCCTGGGCTGCACCCCACTCCCATCCCAGCAGCCCCCACGCTTGCTGCCCAAGCCCAGGCCATGTCCGTCAGGCACCGAGCAGACACAGAAGGCCTCACCACCCTGGGCTTCCCCCTGACAGCCAGGTGGCCCTGGGCACTCCACCAGACAGCACGTCCTGCAGGTCCCCTAGACCTCCCCAGAGCTCCGGGGGCCTCCCAGATGGCCAGGAGAGAGGTCATGTTGGAGATGGGCATGAGCACTGGCCATGTACCTGGGTCCTGGGCAGACCAGGGGTGAGAACCCTTGTCCAGGGGGCTGCTCGGGGGAAGCCCAGGGACAGTGGGTCCAGGGGCCATGGCCGTCCCAGCCTTGGGAAGATGATGCCAAACCAGATATTGAAAGAAGAATGGAGAGGACACCCGGGGGCAGGGCACAGGACAGGGAGCCCACAAGAGGACGGTGGAGAAGGGACGGGGCCCGAGAGGACAATGTCACCCTGGAACCTGGGGTGGCGGGGAAGCAGTGGCCCAGAGCCGTGGGAGCTGCAGCGGTGGGAAAGCCCTGTGCCCCTGCCCAGGGCCTACCCCACACGGCTGGGCCACCCTGCCCTGCTGTGTCTGCACAAGCCCCAGAGCCTGGTGCTGCCCCTGGAGCACTGCTGCCGGTCCTCCCACGCGCCTGCCCACCTGTGCCTCCAGGGGCCTTCCCAGGGACTCATGCTGAGGGCCACATGCTACCCGGCCTCTGCCTGCCTGTCACTCAGACCCCCTGCACCCCACTGGGCAGCTAGAGTCCACCAGCACCTGGGACCAGGAGGGCTCCATAACTCTCCACCATGGTAGCCACCCGGGTCCCAGGTCCCTGCCCTGCACCATGCCGCCGGTTCACAGCAGCCAGGACGGGCCACATGAGGGCCACAGCACCGTGTGGGACCACAGCACAGCTCCCTCCACTCAGCCTCAGAAAGGGGACAAGCCAGGAACGCCGTCCACTGAGAGGAAAGGGCCAGGTGCAGGAGGCCCCTGGCCCGTGACCTTCTGGTGCAAGGCAAGGCGCTGATCCCCCTGGACGCAGGAGCAGGAGTGGCCAGGCGGGGAGGGAGGGGCTCCTCACCCAGCAGCCTTGGAGATTCAGGGGACAGCAGGTGGCCATGGTCAGCGACCTCTGCGCTTCACAGTGATGAAAATCAAACTTCCAGTGTGTCACCCCCAAGAGAACAGCGAGTGTGTGACAGGGTCATGAGCTTCATGTGTCCGTCACCTTGCACAGTCCCACCCAGACGCCAGGCCGAGTCCCGGGTGCTCACCAGAAGTGACGCCGCCGACCCACAGCACGATGGGAATTTCACCAGGGGCTGCTCTGGGGAGCCCAGGGACAGTGGGTCCCTCTGCACAAGGGCCAAGGAGCAAGACCAGGTCCCTGGCTGAGCTCGGGCAGAAGTGGGGGCTGCGGAGGGTGAGGACCCAGGAGCTTCTGCCAAATCCAGAGGGACAGGGGACAACACAGCCCCGAGGCTGGGGGCTGACACTCACTCGGTGGCCCCAGGGTGACTCCAGCCAGGCAGGATGGGGAGAAGACAGCAGCTCAGGGTCGGTCAGCCCCTTGGCCTGGACAGGGAGCGGGAGGAAGGCGGGGCTGGGGACGGGACCTGCAGTCCTGTTGTAAGAGTGGACACTGAGGCCCCTGGGCCCTGCCTGTGGTCCCTGCCACACCTCCTGCCTCCAGCCTCTCATGCCGTGAACCTCTCCCCTTGCAGGGCTCAGCCTCTTTTTATTTATTTATACCAGGGATTGAACCCAGGGCCTCTTCTCAAATCCCCAGCCCTTTGTTGAGAGCCACAGCCGAAGAGGCCCCAGCAAACTTCCAGCTGATTGGCTCACTGTGGCCCCAGCAAACTTCCAGCTGCCAGCTGATTGGCTCCTCTGCGGTGATGCTCATTGGGCTGTTTCCCCGCCCTTTCAGACCACGGAGCTGCTCATTGGGGGACTCTTTTGGCTCCGTCCATGCAACCCAGCCAATCAGCCTCAAGAGAGGACGAGTGGGGGTTGAGAGGCTCCTTGGAAGCAGGTGGTGGCACTTGGGCTCTGAGGGAATTCCTGAAGAGCTCCTGTGGTGCAGGGTCTGTGTTCTAAAAATAAAGTTCGTTTCTGCTGGACAAGTGGCTCCTGAATTGTGTAGCCAGACTGCAGCAGCCCTTCTGGTTTTTTTAATTTTGAGAGAGGCTCTACTAAGTTGCTGAAGCTGGTTTGGAATTTTAATCCTCCTGCCTCAGCCTCCTGAGCTGCTAGAATTACAGATGCCTGATGGGGCTCGTCTGATGAGGTCAGGCCCACCCACACTCCAAGGAAGAGGCTGTGGTGGCTGTGCACACAGGGTGGGACAGGGGTCTCTTGGTATCTTGCCCACCGCCCCCTTTGGCACTTAAGGACCCCTGGAAGAAATTCAGTTCTCATTTTCCAGATAGATGGGAAACTGAGGGTCAACGGCCACTCAGAGCAGACAGACAAGCAACAACTCGGGGCAGGCTGAGGTCTGCAGGGTCCCCCAGCAGAAGAGGGCAGCAGGCCCGTGCCCCCAGGGCCCGGCCACCTCCAGAGGCGGGAGGCAGGAGCAGAATGTGGTTCTGCAGAAGGCACAGCCCCCTCACCACTCGAGGGCCAGTCTTGATGGGGAGAGAGCAGAGGCCGGCCCTCAGGAGGCCGTAGGTCCACCTGCCTTTCCTGTTCCCAGACCCACACAGCTTCTGTCTGTGGAGTCCCAGGAGGAGGGCCTCA